GTTACTCACACCTTCTTGTCAACTGTTGGAAATGGGCCATCCTGATTATCACTACAAAAGTTTTTTTTTCTCCTGTTGATAATAGCTCACCTTAATTAATTACTCTCATTACAGTTGGTATGGCAACACCCATTTTTTCATATTCTGTGTATATATATCTTCCTACTGTATTTTCTACTGCATGCATCCGATGAAGTGGGTTTTAGCCCACGAAAGCTTATGCTCAAATACATTTGTTAGTCTCTAAGGTGCCACAAGTACTCCTCGTTCTTTTTGCTGATACAGGCTAACACGGCTACCACTCTGAAACCTGTCACCGTTTTAAATGTGTTGCTTCTTAGTTTTTGACTGTTTTTTTTTAATTATAAAAACTTCTCTTATAGAATGTGGAGCTGCTTTCACCAGCAAGCTTGAAGGAATGTTTAAAGACATGGAACTTTCAAAAGATATCATGATACAGTTTAAACAGGTATAGCTGTAAAGCCTGCCATGGCTTGTTCTCTAGTGTTTTATTACTTGTGGGTGTGTGTGATGCACCCCAGGGGTACTCAGGGTTGTGAGGCACCTCACTACTACCTCCTCTTAGCTTGAAGGAATCTTGGCTGTGCCTGTTGTGGATCAACTCCTTGAAACCACCAGCCTCTGGCAGCACAGCACAGCCTCGCTCACTCTGTAGAGTAGTAACACATGAATCCTGGAGTCTTCAGAACAAATGGTTACATATAAAACAAAATCATAACACGCTTTCTACTGACTAAATTTAACTAACAATTTACACCCCTCTCTAAACAAAAAAAGCTTATTTCAGCCAAAGTTCTCTCCAGCATATTCAACAAAGCCTGGTTGAGACCTGTTTTTCATAAAGCAAGCTCTGTCCCTTTACTTCGTCAGTGAAGGGTTTGTCAGGGTGTCATCTTTGCCTCCCAAATACAATAGGGCAAATCCGTGGAGTACACCTTAATATAAGGTTCTCCCCAGCTCTCCTATCCTCACCCTATTCTGGTGTTTTTCTCTTCCTGTTAGTTAGTGTCTCTGAAGTTCACACAATCTTTCCTTAACATTCAGTTCTGACAGGTGATAGGAGATCCAATGTGAACTATACAGTACTTAATTTACATGTAAAGAGCCAGCTAGATAAACATTCTTGCCAGAAAACACATTCTTGCTGGTGACCAGACCTTCAAGAACATAATTTTCAGTGTAGATACATAACTCCTTATACAATATCCATACGTGCATTTTGCAATTATGTTGATAACCAGCGTGACACTGGCTTTTATTTGAGATCTGTCATGACACTCTGGTGAACTAGAATGTACATGCCAAACCCAAGAAATTCCTGTAACCTCTCTGCACCTCCTTGCCAGATGGCATTGAGGTTCTTGGGTCACAGTGTGTTACGGCCAAAATGTTTGTTTAAAGCTCCAGTTGTAAATATTTCCTTACCATTTGAAGTAACTTTCTCTCCTTCAGAAGACACAGAGAATAACTTGCTCTTACAGGGTGCAGTTTTTTTAACTTGTTCCTTTTTTGTACAAAGATCCTTGGGAGGGGATGATTTTTTCAAAGACAAAAGGCAATTAGAAGCACAACTCCTACTGAAAAGTCAATGGGAATTGAATACTCAAATCCCATTTGTGCCTTTTGAGAATCTTCCACCTTAGTTCACTAATTGATTTAACTAATAAGAGAGCAAAAATCAGCAGAACAAGTACCTACTGGGATTTAATAGGAAATGTATTGAAATAAATATGCAAACTTGTTGAATGTCTAGCTTAACAGCATTACAAGCTGATGAGACTAGATCACTGATCTAGTGGATAGAGTAGAGCACATGGTGTCAGCACAACTCAGTTGTGTTCCTGACTCTGCCACTGATTTGGGTTGACTTTGGTCAAGTCATTTAACCTCTTGGCTTTAGTTTCTCTGTCTTTTAAATAGTCTTGTACTCCACAATGGCAGTGTATGGGTTTCTTTACAAACAGCAAAAAGTGTTTTGAGAGCCTCTGAAAGGTGCTATCATACTCGTTCTAATACTCATGTAGTTAACTTGCATTCTGTGCAGAGGATATATCATGAGGTCACTTGCATTCTGTGCAGACATGGCACTGATAATGCCTGTTTAACTTCCTGGTAGTTCTGCCTGTACGAATAAAAGAACAGCACCACTTTTACAATATGCTTTTGTTTCTCCTTGCAGTATATGCAAAATCAGAATGTACCTGGTAACATTGAACTAACAGTGAACATCCTGACTATGGGTTATTGGCCAACCTATGTGCCTATGGAAGTCCACTTACCACCAGAGGTAAGGATAACTATGTTGGACTTTGCATACAGGAGTAGAACACTTCTTTCTTAGGCTTGCCATTAGTTAATGTTTAATGTTTAACTGCCTTTTGAATAAAGGGTTAAGGATTATAACTATTTTTAAAAATAGATCAACCTTTAGGACGTAAATACATGGTTAACATCGCTTTAAAAAACAAAACCTTAACATTTGTTTTTCCTATCTAAGCTTGCTCCTCCCTTAAACTGTTTTGTTTTCATTTCATGTGTTTGATTAAATAAATGCAAATGGAAATGAAGTGGAGTTTTTAAAGTGGAGTTTTTCTTTCTTTCCCGTTCTTTAGATGGTAAAACTGCAGGAGATCTTCAAGACCTTCTACCTGGGAAAACACAGTGGTAGGAAACTTCAGTGGCAATCAACACTAGGTCACTGTGTACTAAAAGCAGAATTTAAAGAGGCAAGTATGAGTCTCTGGGTTATTTTCTGCTGGTGTATTCCTGCAGTCTGGCTTTTGTCCGTTTTGAGGTACTTTGTGATATGACCATGGATACCTCTAGGAAAGAATCTTGCAATATGATTAATATTTAGCATTGGCAATAGCCTTCTTGAATTTCTTTTAATATAATGACTGTGTGGTACCATCCAGATTGGTGCCATTGCAGGAGCTACCCAAAATATTGTGTGTTTAATGCATCAGAGACTCTGGTATTGGATGGTATAATTCACACAAGATAAATGACACACATGTTACTTAATTTATTGGTCTGAAAGTAGAGAGAAGTACTGCACACCATGTTTGTGATGGTGGGGAACAAATAGTAATTGAACATCTCATGTCTAAGACTGGTGCTGTATTTCAGTTAGCACATGGTGGTTAGTAATATGCCTTTTCAGATTCCTGACCCAAATAAAATGGATAGCTTTCCTGCAAGCCAAGTTTTCATTTGAATTAATGTACAATACATGAATGATTTTTGACTTTCTTTCCAAGAAGACTTAGTAACATCTGATCACTTCATCCTTGGCAGGGCAAAAAAGAGCTTCAAGTCTCTTTGTTCCAGACACTGGTGCTGCTTATGTTTAATGAAGGCGAGGAGTTCAGTTTAGAGGAGATAAAGCAAGCAACTGGGATAGGTCAGTATTAAATGCAGTTGATGGTGTCTGAATGATGTTGTCGAAAATACTAAACAGCTTGTTTCTGCTTTAGAGGATGGAGAGTTAAGGAGAACACTCCAGTCATTAGCCTGTGGCAAAGCTAGAGTACTGACTAAAAGTCCCAAAGGCAAAGACGTGGAAGATGGTGATAAATTTACATGCAATGATGATTTCAGACATAAACTCTTCAGGATAAAGATAAACCAAATCCAGATGAAAGAAACGGTATGGGTTTAGGGTTTTTTTTTTTTCCGATTGCTGCCCTCTCTCCTGATTCTTAGTTGAACTATCTTTTGCATGTAAAAAAATACAGTAAACTTTCTTTTGTCCAGTGTTGAATTTGTATATTTGGTCACCTACATGAAGTATGCAGGTGTACTTTGTGTGGCAAGTGAACCATAGGTCTTAAATCTGGATTAGCAAACTAATCCAGATTACCTTGCAGCTATCCTATTAATCAGATTTGATAATCTACCCATATTTCTAGGAATCTGAAAGATTTAAGTAGTACCTGTTGTTGTGTGCCATTGACCTTTGTATTCTGAAGCTTGACTAAATACAAATTTAGCAGTTTGCAATAGATTAATCTGGCCAGATTACATGGGAATAAGAAAATTCAGAGCCTTAATTGGCATTCTGTTCTCTATATTATGGCTAGGCGTTAACTTATCATTGGGTTCCTGCTGATATCTGAAACTATTTTAATCCCCTGTGTGACTATGTTTCTCTTTGTAGACAATAGCCTTTCAAAAAGGACTTTGGAAGGAAGTCAGGAGACAAATATTTGACACCAAAAATGCTGGGGTTAATGTGTAGCTTTCTGCAGGTCAGACAACCAGAAAAGGATGACTTTGACTGTTTTAGTGTTCTTTTTAAAACTTTTTTTTTAAACTGCTCATCCAGGTAGAGGAACAGGCAAGCACTACAGAGAGAGTATTTCAGGACCGGCAGTACCAAATTGATGCTGCAATTGTGCGAATCATGAAGATGCGCAAGACTCTGAGCCACAATTTGCTTGTGTCAGAGGTGTACAACCAGCTTAAATTCCCAGTAAAGGTAGAGTTCTGATTCTTTCTTTTGTTTCAGAAGATATTGTTCCTTGCTATACTTTCTCCTCATCGGTGTTGTAGAGATCGCTCGAATAAATAATACAGCCAGTGAAGCACTCTTATTTGGTAGGGAAAGTATTCCTTTCTAGGAATTATGTTTGAGGTGCCAGTTATATTTATTTGTGCATTCGAGTGAACAGACATAATAAGACTTTTTTTTTAAGTAAAGCTACAAGATAAAGCATATTATTCTAGAGCTGGGCAAACTACTGGTTGTGAATAACATTAAAACTTAGCCTCCTTTTTGTTTGTAAGTCATTCTCGGACTGATTTTTTTTTTTTGGTTTTTTTTTTGCATGCATTTATAAGTAAGGCTGCGAGTTTCCGTGACTTCTGCAGCAGCCGGTGTGCCTGGTTCAGGGACAGCTCAGGTAGCCCCTGCGCCAGGCGCACTGGCTGCTGCTGGAGCAGTTTCGGGCCCCCTCCAGCAACAGCAGAGTTTGGGTGTGGGAGGGGGCAGGGGATGGGGTGAGGTGGGGTCCCTGCAGCGACATACCCCTCACTCAGTTGCTAGGCAGAGGCGTGGCCAGGCAGCTCTGCACGCTGCCTCTGCCTGCAGGCACCGCCCCTCGCAGCTCTCCTTGGCCGGGAACTGAGGCCATGCCTCCGCCTAGCAGCTGAGTGAGGGGGATGTCACCGCTTCCGGGGACCCCCCCAGGTAAGCGCTGCCCAGAGCCCACCTCACCGCATCCCGGGCCCCACCTGTGACCTGTCTCTGACTTTTACTAAAAATACCCATGACTAAAATGTAGCCTTATTTATAAGCACTCACCAATTGTTAGGGAATGTGTTCTGGCTATGCATTCTCTGGAAAGACTCTGTGGGTAGTCATTTGCGACAAGTTGCATAGTATTGGTGCTGCTTCCCAGCTGCTTAATTCAAACTTCTTATCCAGAAGAGAATAACAAATACCTAATACAACTTTTCAGACCAATAGTTCTGGTTAAAACTTTGTGTAAACTGAGATTTACAAACACCTGTAGCTTGTGGCTGTCTCAAACAATGAATGAGATGTCTGTATCTATAGGGAGAGATCCATTCAAGTTCATATTGAACTTGGAGCTTAGTTTGCAAATAAACATGTGAATCACTTGTTTCATTTTTCAGCCAGATGTAACTTCTGGTGTTTTCCAGTGCAAGAAATGTAAAGTAGAAAGCTTTGCCACTTTCTTCTGTAGCTTTCTTGAAAAACACCAATTTTTAAATTTTCTCTGCAGATAAGTAAGCATTTGTATTGCATAAAATTGGCAGCCAGGCATGCATAGGTATAATAGCTGATGTAAATGCTTTTTCTCCCTTGTTCGTGGGGATCTTTCGCACAACATCAATCTAGGTCACTAACTTATACAATATGCTTTCAAATGTACAAAGTACATCTCTGTTACTGGATGAAAGCTCCACACAAACAGGAGATAAGCATTTATTTTTATATATATAAACATTTTATAAAATTGTGTTACAAAATACCCTTTGTGACCTGATTTAGAAGACACACCTGCATTACATTATGGGAAGTATGTCTGCCTGAATTCCAGTTTTAATGGGGCATTCATGTTTGACAGACCCCAAAATTGACAGTCACACACTTTTTTGCTTTCTATTTCTGTGAAAGACATTTTAGATCTGTCATGCTCTTGTACCTGAAGGATCTTCTGTGGCATTTCTGTAATTGATCAATAGGATATTTAGCTATTCAGGTGGTAATTTGAAAAATGTTTTCATGTAATATTGTTAAAGTGGGAGGAACTGAGTGATCAGAAACTTTGTAGAGATGGCTGCAAAAAAAAAAGTAGTACTGATGATCTGCATTATTTTACAGCCTGCTGACCTTAAGAAGAGAATAGAATCCTTAATTGACAGGGACTACATGGAAAGAGACAAAGAGAACCCAAACCAGTACAACTATATTGCATAAACATATGTTGGCCTTTGTTTTTCTGCACATTTGGTGTCATACTAAATTGCCGGTGGATAAACTAGCCTGTTGATCCCATTATTTGACTTTTTATACTACCGATGAATGAATGAAAGCGGTGTAATGGAAAAGTATAGTAGAGTGGACTTTTTTCAGTGGTTAACATGCCCATTTAAAGAGTACTATTTACATTTTAAGAAGAATGCTGTTGAACTCTTTGCATGTTATTTAGTATGATGTGCAGAAAACTGTAAGAGAGTACCTGGTCTTCGTGATTCCATTTGTCTCCGAGTCTGAAGAGGAGTCCCTTGATATATGACAAATGTTCTTTTACATCTTTAAACTATGAAGCAGAAGGTTAATTAACATACAGAAAATAACCTTTAAAATGCTTAAACTGCATGCAAACTTTTAATTTACTGTACAGAATATTGGATATATTTATCAAGTAGCAAAACGACCAATGATTTGATTCACTCATATTTGGATTTCACCCGGGGGGGAATAATTACCAAGTCAAGTTATACTTATTGATGTAGAAAACATTCTCTGTTGCAATTAGGAGGAAATGCAAAGGAAACGGTATCAATATAAAAGGATTGTAAGGTTACAAAATATGTACCATTCCTTAAATAACTGTGCCACTTACTTTAATTAACAAGCTTAGACTTGTATTTATATGGCTTACCCCAAAATGTAAAGTGTTTACCCTATTCTTAACATAAAACAGCAGCAACAGAAACAGTGACAATTTTTACTAGTCTTGAGCAGGAGAGTCCAACTCTTTGCAGTAACACTCAGCAAAAGAGAATGTATTATAAAATGAGGCAAAAAGCAACACAGTTCTTGCGCGCACACACACAAAAAAGCTACACAAACCAAAATTACAAATGGATTTTAATACTATTTTTCTTCGAAACAATCTAAATGGCTTGAACTTCACCCTAGGTTTAGACAGGGTGAGAATCTTATAGACATGTCCTGCGTTGGATTGCTTTTAGGAGTTAACTCAAGCCAACCTAAAGCTTTAAGAACTCAGTCCTAGACAGTAGCAGGCTTTGCCTCCTAGAACCCTAAGCCTACCTCTCATACAGAAAGATACTTAAATATTGCTTCAAGGCATCTAGATCCTGTTTTCCTAGTTGACAAGAGCATTATTTGGATCTTCGTGAAACCTGGGAGGAAAAAATAGCTTGAATACAGAGGTTCCCCAAACAGTGAGGTTATTGCTTGAAGTTTTTGCAACCGGAAACTTTTTTTGCTCTAGCAGAATATACCAGGAATATAAAGTGGCAGCAGAAGAGTTAATTTTTCCAGTTTTCCTAGACATGTGACAGCTCCCCTACCCCTCCTCACCAGTTTCAGCCATGCGGCATAGGAAGATGAAGAATCTGATTCACTTTCAGGCATCTACAGCCCTGAGAAATGCCAGACAACCCTAAGAGGCAAGAAAATGTTACTTTATTTTAAAATAATAATAATGGCCTTTCCTTAACCCACCTGATGACTAGCACTCATATATTCTTGATGATCTATTATTTCATCACCTTATGGCCCTGTGGAGTACATAAACCCTGTAGAGTGTGTGTGTGTGTGTGTGTGTGTGTGTATGTATGTATGTATGTATACACATTATATCCAGAACTTCCCCTTCCTGAATGTTGCTTTTCGTAAACAACTGTATGGTGTGAATTGCCTCCATTTTTTTTCTCAAGCTCCTTTACATAAAGTGCTCACTTGACAAAACAAAGAAACTGGGTTCTCCCCCAAGTAAAGAGCACTAGCACTCCTCATTTCATATCGTTCCCTCAATGCTGACTTCTTATAAAATTTGCACAGCTCTCTTCCACGTGAGCCGCAATAAGAAACCTGTCAATTTTTTGCATAGTAGTTATCAGTCTAATCCAATGGGAGACATTCAGGGTCACTACCTTTGAGAGGTATAATATATCCAGTGGGGGCATTTCTTGTGGAGGCTGCTTCTGTAGGGAATCAGGCAAGCCTATAACTATTAGCTCAGAAGCAGAGAGCCACCAGAGAGAGGACAACAATGAAATTGAGATCATGGCTTTTCTATCTTCATTATTTTTAAACTTCTTTCTGTATCAGTTGCATTATGTCTCTTTTCTCCATGTATACGGTGGTTCTGTTTTCTCAAATAAAAGATTTATTTAAAAGAAGATACTGTTTATGGAGGGAAAGCTTTAAAATATTCACTTTTAGGGGAAGGATGGAAACCAAAATATTTGACTGCCCATGTTCCGATTTGTTGCAACAGTTTAAATACAACCAATGTCACATACTTAAAAAGGAGACTCCATTAGAATCTCCAATTAGATGGGTGTTGAATTTCAACTATAACCAACCAGAAGGTTTTATTTTTGTTTTGTTTTTATTTATCCCATTTATTTCAACCAGTAAATGCAGAGACTATTGTGTAGAAAACTCATGTCCTGAATTGTCAACATACTTCAAGATTTGACACTGAAACTGAGTTAACCTTTTCACTGGCAGTCCAGCTATTAAACTAACCCAATGGATGGCCTATGAGAACACTGGCTTGATCAGGAACTGAAGAAAAGCAGGGAAAAGCATGCCCTCATATCCCTTTATTTACCCCACTGGCCTATCCCCGACAGATTGTTCTTTTCTTCTGCTAGTGGTTTTCGCTCCTGGCTAGTGACAAAGCTGCAGCCAAGATTAGCATCCAGCCATACTTCTTGCTGGGATCACGTGCCTGCCTACTGAGCCATATATTAATTTTTGTTTTAGTGGGCTTGGACCACAAATCATTTGGCTATAAAACAGCTTGTCTGTTCGGCCACATATTTTTAATCCTGACTCTTGCATGCAGTTTATAGCAGACTAGTACATAAGAAATTGCAGTTTATTCTTAGAAGTATATATTTTAGGTTTTTTAATCTTTATACCCATAAATGAACTATTTTTTTGTCTTGGCTGGTTTAAAAAAAGTGACCATTTTGTTTAAATGCTGTAATTGCGAAAGTGTTGTAAACCATTGTTTTGTTCTATAGTTCACACAAAGGTGCCAAAGTAAATAGTTAATAAGAGACCTAACAAATTTGTTAAGTTGCTTTAGCCGTGGTTTATATTTTGATCTTTCTAATGCTCATCTTTCAGTCACAGTATTTTTCGTTTCCCTAAACATATCATTTGCCCTAATGCTTACTTTTAAACAATGTTTTATTTGCGCATCTAAAACAATGTTCAAATACCACTGTTTTTTAGTGATTTCATATAATAGGAAGAGTATTTTCTTTGAAAAGTTACAGTAAAGTTGTAAGAGTACAGCAGCATTCAAAAAATGTAATATACTTTTTGTATAACAATTCTTCAGAAGTATCTCTGGAGTGAAAAAAACTAACCCTGTTACTTTTAAGAAGCCTCTTCACTCGGCTACTAGAATATAAAATTGTGCTTGTTTAACTGCATCAAAATGTTATAGTTATGCAGATTTGCAAATGGGGCATGTGTCACCATTGCGTCCTTTAATGCAAAAAGCAAAACCTTTTTAATGTTTCATAACAAGTCTAAAATGGGTACAGAGAGTCTTTGTTAAGTTGGTAAATAATGTAAATACATGTCCTTTCAAAGAGTGAGTCTGTTATCTAGGTATTTTGTGTCATTTAATAAATATTAAACAGTTTTGTGTTGATAAACTCTTATTTGTCTGTGTGAAGTGTCTTTTTAATCAGACTTGTATATATTGGTGTGCTAATGTGTCTTTGGCACTCTCCTTAATATCTTTGGGATGTATTTTGATAACAAGATTTTTGCTTTCTTCCTGGGTTCATCCGATGAAGTAGTTACCTTTTGTTGAGGTATCACACTTACTTGGGTTTTCCAAGTGGGTTCCATTCTTCGATTCACCTTGTTTGTTTTATTTTTATATTTTTAAGATCTGACACACTGTTTTCTAAGAGAGAGGCTGGTAAACATGGTTTAAAAATTAAGGGCCTGATCCAAGCCCCATTAAATCCAGTGACTTCACTGAGCTTTGAACCAGGCCCAGAATGCACGGGAGTACTAAAAACTGCACTAAAGTACTAAATAGGGCTTTGCTACCTGTTTCCGTAGTACAGAACCCAAATACACAGTTCCCAGGCCAGACTGGGGAGTGACTCCTTGAGAAAACAGGACTGGCTGCAGCTACCCCTGAATCATTGTCTCTTGTCGCTACTGGTGCTGCTGTCAAGTGAGAGCTTGCTCAGAATCATTTCAGATACTAATCTGAAATATGAAGAACGCTTTTGGAAAAAACACATTGATACTCACTTCTGTACAATGCTGGGCCACCTTTTTGGTGGGTTGTGCCATCTGACATTTGGTGCCTTTTGGGAAAACTTGTTACACGCATAGGACTTGTCCATGCAGAATTCACTGACAGAGAGGCTTCCCTTTCACAAAGCAAGTCCCACTGATGTCAGTGGGACTGCTCTCATGAGTAAGGGTTTGCCAGATCAGTTGCTTTTGCAATGACGGTGCGGGGCATATGTTTCAACACATAATGGCAGGCTTGAAGGGTTTGGTGGCCCGAAGCAAAGCAAGTCATTCATTCTCTATGCAAATACCCTCTGCTGAAGACTAGGATGGTACTGCAGGAACAATGAGCTTGAATGCTGAGACCTTGTCTAAGAAATTAATGCTCCTTACACAGTGCATTCTCTATATGGGTATAATCTGCATCTTCTTCTTCCTGTGCATCTAACCTTTTTTTAGCTTAAATAATTCCCTAAAGCAAAGTGAATGGAGGAGAGGAGGGGGATGAAGGCTAATTGGTCTCTTAATATCTTCTTTCTGGAAAAATAGAAGATATGTAACAAATAAGGTTGCTGATAAGGCCTCCTAAAATACGGTTTTATTGTATAAGGCCATTTGCAATAAGATCGTGTGTGTGTGTGAGAGAGAGAGAGAGAGAGAGAAAACCATCTGCAGGGCAAGGTAATTAATCAAAATACTTTTGCTGGGCTAGGTGCTTAGAACTCTCTTGTACAAAGATATCTTCCAGTCTGGCAATACTTAAAGTTCTAGAGTAGCACTGGGGGAAAGGAATAAGAATCCATGTACAGGAAGTGAGGATAATGGGCAGAGAAGGGAGGCAGATGCTGAACATCCCTAGGCAGAGGGAGTGGTATTCCTCCTGGCCTTTTTTAAAGTTGCCCACCTGGAATTCCTTGCTACCACATCTGTGGGATAAGGATTAAGGTATACATCATAGGAGGAAGGAAGGGACATCTCACTGCTCCTTCTGAGCCATTCGCCTGCTCTGGGTTTCCAGCCACGTGAAGGGCATCCATATAGTCTCTTAATGGTCAGAATTTTGCAAAGAGGGTTGCAAAAATATAAACAGGGCCCTTCCTTATAAAATGCAGTAAAGGTCCAATATGTCTCCACTAGCATTTTCAAAGGAAAGTATTGGATTTCAAAGTCACTATGCCTCCTGTTCACGAGGCCATGTGAGTCATCAGATTTTAAAGGACACACCTGAGCCTGTCTTGAAAAGAACTTAGCGTTGCATCAAGCTCCAGATTTTGCTTGTTGTCACAGAACTATGGCAGTGCGTGTGTATGGCAGCACAATACTACAATGGGGAGTTCTATGCAAAAGACTGTGAATAAAACTATGAAGCCTTTCTCTCCTTTTGGAAAGGTAAATCTAAAGCTAGAAGTGTTGTGCAGTGCCCCCACACATCCACCTTCTTCGTCCCCTATGACCTCCTGAGGTCCCTTCCAACCCTGATATTCTATGATTCTATACTGTAAGACACCTGGTACCTAATATACTATTTTATCCTGAATCTGTCTTAATGCAATAGAAACCTTTGGAATAAAATGATAGTTCTTCAGGATTTATATAGCACTATCAGTGTGGATGGTGCTATGATATATGTGTGGTCCTGAATTATACTAAAAGTTCCAGACTGCAGAGCCAAGGTTGGTGGCCCCTGTGCTGAACAAAGTCTAGTCCTTCCAGATCCGATCAGGCCCCAGATACCAGGGCTAGGAGGCCAGTCTCTGCTCCTGTGACTACCAGCAACCAGGCTTCCAAGAAGCCTGGATCAGACTCAGTTCCTATAGTCCTCTCAGTTGAGCCCCCGAGGCTACAGATGTCTGAACCGAGGATCACGTGGTTGGATCTGACTGCCATGGTTCCAGAAGAACAGGCAAGAGACAACTCAGCCACCCCCACCGATACTGTACCTTGTGCCCTTCTAGTTATCCTATGGAACCATTGCAGCTGCAGGATCAGGGTCGGTTCCAACTTCTGCTTCCGGATTCAGAAAGATGAAATTCATCAGTGTGACAGACTCTGGGCTGTCAGCCCCTTCGGTTCCATCTGTCACAGCACCAAAGAAGAGAGACGGAGACAAAACAGCTGCTGTTACCAATCCCAATTTCGGATCTGTCCGATTCTGACAGGACTGACATGGAGACAAAGTGGATGTCTGTTCCAACCACGGCTTTGATAACAAAGGAGATGAAGTTGTGGAAAATATTGGATTTGAGGTTGTCCATGTCTTTAAGTCATCGGTTCCAGCTATATCTTCTGTTCTGG